TTTAATGTCTTTTTTTGCTTGACACTTATAGCTAGGTAATGAGGACAGATGTAGTATAATATATTTGCCTTTTATTAAAGCATACCCCAAATTTTTTCAGGTTATCTTTGTAGCTAAGAGGTTAACGTGTGAGCTGAATGTTAGATAATTCAATTAGAAGTACTTGTAACTGAACTGGATTCATGTCTACTGGAGATGAGAATCTCATGGAAAAACAGCAACTGATAACATAAGTGAAGAATTTTGTAATCCCACAAAATATTAAAACAGTGCAGTATATCATTTAGATTTCAGTTTTTGATTACTAGAGATTTGCTTCATTAGGAATGCCTGTATTTCAGTGTTGGAATTATTATAATCTACTGTAGATCTTTTACATTAAATATTCCTATTTGGGGGACTAGAAGATAGATTGCAATGTAGTAAATTTGTCTTAAAAGTGCTATAAATCTGGGGAATACCTAGATTTATATAGAATGCCTAATTACCACTGAACTTAAGAAATAAAACATTATAGATAAAATGGAAATCTCTTTGAATCACTTACCCTTCATTATTCTCTCCCCAGAGGTAACCCCTATTCTGAATTTGGTATTTTACATTCCCATATTTGTTTTCACATTTTTATACTTTTCTTCATATCTAGGATAAATGTAGTCTCATTTTGCATATTTTTTTTTTATTTCAGCATATTATGGGGGTACAGATGTTTAGGTTATGTATGTTGCCCTTGCCTCTCACCTCCCCCCAAGTCTGAGTTTCAAGTGTGTCCATCCCTTGAATGGTGCGCATTGCACTCTTTGTATATGCAAATACCTGTCCCCCCTCCCCCTCCCTCCTGCCCGGCATCCAATAGATGTTATTCTTATATGTACACTTATGTGTTGATCAGTTAATACCAATTTGATGGTGAGTACTTGTGGTGCTTGTTTTTCCATTCTTGGGATACTTCACTTAGTAGAATGCATTCCAACTCTATCCAGGAGTATACAAGAGGTGCTATTCGTTTTGCATATTTTAAACAAGTGTTTGAATAGTATCTTACTGGAACATGCTTTTTTTCTCTCAGCGTTGCTTCTGAGATACATTGATATTGATCTAGTTCTTTACTTCATTTTAACTGCCGAAGAGTATTTCATTGCACGAATATATCATAACTTATTATTAACTCTTCTATTGTTGGTTGTTTCGGACTTTTCAGTATTGTGAACTGTGCTTAAAAGAATCATGTATATGTGAAATTTTCCCTAAAGTATATATCTAGGTATAGAATACTAACATACAGTATTTAAATTTTTTGAAGTTTCATTATTTTTTTTAATTGTTCTCTAAAGTGGTCCTATCAGTTTACATTCTCCTCAGCAATGTATAAGGTTTCACTAAGATTTGATATTGTTAGACTTAAAGTAATGACAATTTGACACATATAAATTGTGTCATGTTGAGTTATTTTGCATTTTTTGGTAATATTTTTTCAGTGAGGAGCAAATCCTTTGTTCTCTCTTTTGCTATTTTCAGTGGTAGTGATATGCTTCTCATTATGTAGGTTATTTTGCTATTAGTATGTAGTTTTATTATAGAATATCTCCTCTACCCACATTTATATATATCACCCCATTATCTAAAGCTCATTTTGTTAGATTTATTTTGTGCTGAGCAACTAAATCAAAAATAGAATGTTTTTGTTGTCTTTTTTTTGCTCTAAAAAGAGTCAGCTTTTGGTAGAGGAAAGATTTGAGCCTGGTATCTAGGTGATAATAGGAGAATAATGCAGTGAGGGAGTAAACAATCAGAGATCTAAGTTGTAGAAAATTCAGTTATTAACAGCAAATTAAGAATAAAGAAAATGCAAGCTTATAAATAATCCCACTACTTAAATATTATCTTTATAGAATATAGTCATGTATTGCTAAATGATGGGGATATATTCTGAGAAATGTATCATTGGGCAATTTTGTTGTTTTGAGAACATCATGGAGTGTACTTTACATAAACATAAGTGGTATAGCCTGCTATACACCTAGGGTATATGGTATAGCCTATTGCTCCTAGGCTACAAACCTATACAGTATGTTACTGTACTGAATACTGTAAGCAGCTGTAACACAATGATATTTATATATCTAAACATAGAAAAGGTACAGTAAAAATATGATATAAATGGTAAAAATGACACACCTATATAGGACACTTGCAGGACTGGAAGTTGCTCAGGTTGAATTAGTGAGTGAATTGTGAGTGAATGTGAAGGTCTAGGACATTACTGTACACTACTGTAGACTTTATGAACACTGCTACACTTAGTTTATACTAAATTTATTTAAAATTTTTTTCTTCAGTAATAAATTTACCTTAGCTTACTATAACTTTCTTTTTTCTGAATTTGAAAAAATGGCTTTATTTTAACCAGTGGTATTGTCTGACATCCTATATGACATAACTGATTACAACCAAGTTCATGAATGCAAATAAAATAGCAGTTTCCCTCATTCTCTCTTTTGTTCTGTTTGGAGAAATCAGGAGATGGGAGCATTATGCCCAGAAACCAAAAGCTCTTCCCAGAGCTACAGCTTAGAGTCCAGGCTCCTGGAGCATGCAGCCTCCTAACACATATGTGGTCACATATTCAAAGACCTTTATTAAAAAATATTCAGAGCAGTATTTCTATAGGAAATCACATTAGCATTTACAACCAAACATGGCTGATAAAATTCATCTTGCTGTGGATGGTGAGGATTTGAAGTGCATATAAAGGAGATGAGGCCTTTACATTCACTTTCCTTTAAAGAAGGGAGAATCCCAGGTGTAATCACCGTCAGCCTGCTTCCTTCCTTTCACTCCAGTTGATTCAAGGGTCCTACCCTGGCCTTCTAGAGTGCATGCATCACTGCACTGAGAGAGAAATGGAAACACCCTGGCCCAAATACAAGATTTTGTATTTGGCCAACACTGGAAGTAGCTTTACACTTTCTTCTTACACAAAAGACTTCAATATATGGGCCCTCATGTAGCACAAATGCTTAAAATTCAGAAAATTATGAAAACAACTCTTCTCTACACCTGAGGATATTCCATCTTTAAAAAGTTGAAAATATAAAACATTAAAATAATTTGCCCTTTCTCCTCATCAAAAGGAATCACATTCTCAAAGAATTCCTGCACTATATAAAATTCTGAAACAAAATTTATTTCTCCCCAAATCGAGACCAAAAAGTCAATGTTGGCCAGGCGCGGTGGCTCACGCCTGTAATCCTAGCACTCTGGGAGGCCGAGGCAGGCGGATTATTTCAGCTCAGGAGTTCGAGACCAGCCTGAGAAAGAGCGAGACCCCGTCTCTACTGAAATTAGAAAGAAATTAATCGGACAACTAAAAACATATAGAAAAAATTAGCCGGGCATGGTGGCACATGCCTGTAGTCCCAGCTACTCGAGAGGCTGAGGCAGAAGAATCTCTTGAGCCCAGGAGTTTGAGGTTGCTGTGAGCTAGGGTGACACCACGGCACTCTAGCCAGGGCAAAAGAGTGAGACTCTGTCTCAAAAAAAAAAAAAAGTCAATGTTAAGCTGCCAGGAAGTCCCTTTTCCATAGAGGAGTGGAAAAGACAATTCGTTACTACTTTTTTTTTTTTTTTAAATAACCATGTTTAGAGAAAGATAGCAAAAGGAGTTTCCGGCCTCATGATGTTTATATTTCACTTTTATTTTCAACATTGGTTATTAGGAGAAAAGACAATAACTTGTTTTCCAAAGTTTGAGATATTCTTGGGAAAGCCCTGACTTTTCCCGTGATAGCTCCCTCCCCAAAAATAGCTTGTTGAAAAGTGGCAAGAATGAAAATGCTATACATCCATCTGTTCCATTTTTTCATGATTTTCACATCAAAAGCACCTGGAATATAAATTGTGTTCAACACAATATAGCACTGGGGGCTGAAAAGAGGATGCTGTCACTTGCCCATAACATCAGCTGAGCTGACACAGGATCTGAACTATTCAGCAAGTCTTCACTGGCAAACTTGCCTGGCACCAGGGCCTCCCAAAGAACACAGGACAAGCAGCTGTGTGTTCTCAAATAGCAAGACATGTGGAACACATTCTCACTCTGCTAGAAATAAAGAGCTCATGGGAAGTACACTGACAGTAAGAACCCGCTTCTGACTACTGGGGTGAGTACTCATGAAACTTCTGCACTGAAAGTGAAGGGGTAAGTAGAGAAATGGCAGCAACACCTGGGGATGAGGAGAAAGAGAGATGCACATATACGCATGCGCACACATGCATGCAGGCTGCCTTGCTGCTTCAGGACCACAGCAGCCATCTGACAGCCCTGTCTACTTGCCTGGCTCAGAACTTCAGCAGCTGCAGTCTTTTAACTATCTACACTTCTCTCCTTTTAAGGCCCAAACATATTTACAGTTTCAAATACACCTGTCAAATTCTGAGAACCGTTCTAAGCAAGTTAACATAGGCTAGTGCACAGAGGCCAGTTGGTCTGTTTTGGCTGTATGCATCGCTGAGGGTTGGCTTCAGGTCTCAAACAACCAGAAGATGTGAGCCTTCTCTCTGCTCCACTGTGGGATGTGGTCAAGTCTATCCCCCACTGTCAAGGTGGGGCCACAGGAGAAGCCAAAGTGAGACAAGCATGACCATGATAGGGGATGTTTAATATTTTTTTACTTTGCATTTGACATTTTCCTAACAAGATGGAAGTTCTTATCTGCCTGAGCTGACTCTCAGAATGAACAAGTGGAGGCTCCCATGGAGCATCTGCAATTCCTTGTAAAGTCACTGTGATCACAGTCTACTAATGTTATTCTGTCACCTTCCCACAAAGACAGATATACACATACACACACTAACACACGTGTGTATGCACATACACACACCTTCCACCATGGAGGAAATCTTTGTAACAAGAGGCACTTGAATGATGTTTGGAGAGATCCTATGAGAAGCCCTCCCCCTCACAGTGAATTTGGATCAACAGAATAGAAACCAAGTATTCAGGACTCTGTCTCTTCTTGGGCAGGGGGTGGCAGCACAAAGCTGATGACTTCATTGTAGGTCAGGCTTTTCCACTCATCTCTGAGGAGATCTCTGCTTTTGTAAGGGTCGGCCACTGGCTCATCATCAGGATCGTGGTATTGAGCAAAGTAGGCATGTGCAAGGGTTTGGGCTGCTGTAATTCTCTTATCTGAGTCCAATACAAGCATCTTCTCCAGGAAGTCAACACCAAAGGATTGGCACCAATAAATACATCTGCAAAGTTCATCTTCAGCATCTGAGTCAAAGACTGAATATAGTTTCTTGCAGACTCTGAAGAGATTTTCTTCAAAAGCTCAGCACCTGGTGTTCTAACCAGTCTTACGATGAGCTTCAACTGATCAATATGGTCTATACCAGGAAACAGTGTTCTTCCAGTCAACAGCTCGGACATTATGCATCCCACTGACCCAAATATCAACTGTCTGGTTGTAATGCATCTGGTTCAGCATGATCTCAGGAGCCCTGTACCACCTAGTGGCTATGTAGTCTGTCATTTCATCATCTGTATGCCAGGCCAGTCGAAAGTCCAGGATCTTCAGCTCACAGTCTTCATTCACAGCTGGATTAATAGTTTTTAGTTCCCTGTGAATTATGTCAGCTGAATGTATGTACTTTATACCTAAGAGAATTTGGTCGATGAGGAACTGCATGTGATCATCTGTAAGCTTCTGACATCTCACAATGTTGTTCGGATCTGCCCCCATGAGATGGGTCACCAGATACACATTGAATTCAGCCAGAGACCTTGCAGGTATAAAAACATCCAATAGACCAATCACATTTTCATGTTTCCTATGTTTAAGAAACCACATTTCTCTGTAGGTTCTTTTGGCTTCAGTGATGGATGAAATGATCTGGATAGCTTCTTCTGTGCCACACATAACCCAATTTTTGTGTTAAAAGCAGCACACACGGAGCCGTAGGCACTGGAGCCCAGAGGGGACAGATTGTGGTAATGCTTGGGCACCTCCCAGATTGTCTTGTTCAGCTCCTGCCAGTAGAACGTGGGCCTCTCCTGAGACATTTTCCAGCGGCAGCTGCAAAGCAAGGAGGTGGCCCAAGGGGGCCCCGCCTGCACCTGCACCCGTCAGGCAGGGACCTAGTGCTGGTTGCTGGCACCCACAACCCCACAGACTGCAGGCGCTCTTGGCTCCTGTCAGCTGCAGGGGCTGAAATATCTCAGCAATGAGGGTGAGCCCTGCAAAAGGCAGGGGCTTGCTCTTAGGCTCAAGGCCGTGCCAGCCACTACCTTCCTACACCCTCTCCCCACCGGCCGATTCAGGGCCATGTCGCTGAACTCCTGCTTCAGCTGCTGTGCCCGCTGAGGCTCCCATGCAGCTTACTATAACTTTTTAACTTTAAAAACTTTGTAATTTTTTAACTTTGATTCTTTTGTAGTAAGACTTAAAGAACAAATACATTGGACAACTGTACAAAAATATCTTCTTTATGTCATTTTATAAACTTTTTTCTATTTAAAAATATTTTTTGTTTATTTATTTTTTACTTTTTAAACTTTTTTGTTAAAAACTAAGGCACAGACACGTTAGCCTAGGCCTACACAGGGTCAGGATCATCAGTATCACTGTCTTCCACCTCCACATCTTCTCTCACTGGAAGGTCTTCAGGGCCAATAACATACATGGAGCTGCAATCTCCTGTGATAACAATGCCTTCGTCTGGAATACTTCCTTAAGGATCTGCCGAGGCTGTTTTATAGTTAACTTTTTTTTTTAATAAGTAGAAGGATTATACTCTAAAATAATGATAAAAAGCATATATGTATATGTATATATACATACATCAGTTACATAGTCATTATCATTATCAAGTATTATGTAATGTACATAATTTTATGTGCATATACTTTTATGTGACGGCCAGTGCAGTAGGTTTGTTTACACCGGCATCACCACAAACATATGAGTAATGCATTGCACTGTGACTTTATTATGGCTACAACATCACTAAGTGATAGGTTTTTCAGCTCCATCATAATTTTATAGGACCATTATTGTATATGGGACTCATCGTTGACTGAAATGTTGTTATGCAGCACATGACTGTAATTATCTCTCTATTATTTCTTTTCTAGGTCCTGGTTTTTAAGGTAATTTGAAATAATTTTTTCTGCCTTTCTCTCTTACTGACTTAATTGATTTCTAAGAAGATTAAGTAAGATTTACCTATATTGACTTTACCCTGGATATTATTCGAAATGTCAGCAGGTTATTTTAATTAAATTAGTTTATTAAATTTAATAAGAGATGATTAAATATTGATGGGGGAAAAGAAGCAACTTAGGTTACTTCCAGAGAAAGGATGATTCTAGTGGAACTCATTGGGCAGCTAAATGACAATATAAAGATATAGGAATGGGGAAGAGAAGAAAAGGACAAATAAGAAATGCTGAAAGATATTCTTAACAGACTTAAATATTTTTATTTGGGTTATTCTCCTTTCTGTATTTTTCACTGACTCCTAGGAGATAGAGAAGTTTGTCTGTAGGGAATTTAATAGAAGAAAAACAGGTAATTTTGTTGGGATGTGTTTGCCCAATGTGGATCTATCATGAGATAGAATCTGCTCACATTTCTTAAGTGACTTGAAATATAAAAACTCTAAAGAAGATAAAAATAAATGTCAGAGACAGAAATTGGAAGAAATAAAGAATGGCAAGTTCAACAAGGATATGTCAGTGATTGAACAGTTAGAATCATATCCTAACTTATATAAGTAGGTTTTCTTGTCATTCCAATTAATTACACAAAATCTGTCACTGGGTCTTTCTGTATTGACTTGATCATAGCCTGTCACTAACAAATAATTTTATTTACAACCAATTTAATGTGTAAATTTTTTTTATATTTAACAGTGTTTACATGATCTCCTCTTGTTCAACTTCAGTGGACTATCAGGATAATAATAGTTTTTCTTTAATAGCAGCCTTCCTTTTTAGCAGCTTTTATTTTAGCTCAAAATAAATGTATTATTACCCTTGCTACTTTTATAAGCAAATTTAAATTTTTAATAGTTTTCTTTATTATTGCTGGATAATTTCATGTAATTTTTGTTTCTTCCTCAGTAGGTCTTTCTTTGCAAGTATTGTTTATTTAGATAAGTTTGTGTGCATCCTAAGAAGCTCTTGCCTATGTATAATTAAAACAGGGTAGCATCTTCATTTTGAATATGTAAATAATACTGTCTCCTAGATGCAAAGCTAGCTTGTGTTTGTAGAAAATAGTATTGCCATAGTGAAGTACTTTTTGAAGTACAATTTAGCAACTACTAGACTAGATCTGTAGGTGGATTTCTAATAGCATTAAGGCTCATATTATGTCAAGTATAATATTTTTTAGTTTTTGTTGAATTAATTATATTAGAAATTAATCTTGGTTTGTAGTTCTACTTTATATTCTCTGTGTTAGAGAAATTCCCTCTAGAGAATTATCTTTAACATTTATGTGAGTAATTTCCAATATATTTCTAGCCCTGAACAGTTTCCTATCTCTCATTGCCTTCTAAGCATTCATATTTTTTTTTCTTTTTAAGTCTTGCTATTACTTCAAATTCAGGTTGTCTGAACTCTTTGCTATCCTTCTCTTCTGCTACCTTGCTCCCAGTCCCGATACCCCACCTAATTTCCTATTTGTATCACTGGTGTCATTATTTTCCTGATTGCTAAAATAAATTAGTTTTTAAATTATTATATGAAGGTTTAGATGTGAATCCTGGCTAGCTCTGAGATCTTTGGGAAATTAATTGCTCCAAGCTTCATTTTCTTGTCTGTAAAGAAGGGAGAATAATGTTTTAAGAGACTGGTAAAAGGGTAGATTAAATGAGATGATACTGGTAATGTGCTTACACAGTGCCTATCTCTTAGCAAATGATAGTTGTCTCATAAGTACCTACGTCGAAAAACTCAGTTATTTTGATACTTCTCTTTTCCAAATACTCTGTATTGCTTTTGTTCACAAAAATTTGATAATCCTAGCCTTATAAGATGTTCACATATTATGTTCTCGTAGCTGAAATCCTGACCCAGCCTCTGATTTTCTATACATAAATGTAAAGGCAGTCTTGCTTACTGATTTCTTTGTCTCCATACTTTCTTTTCCTATAATACATTCTGAGTATTCTGGTCAGATGACTTTTTCTGACATTCCACATTTATTATTCCATGTATCTGCTAAGAAAGAACAAAAAAAATGAATTGTTCTTTATTTTCTTATTTTACTTAGTAGAACTATCCATTCCATCCACTTTTGTCTATGTACTCGAAGGCTAACATCATTCCTCTTTCAGTGTCCTTCCTCAGGCCAGGTCCTCTCTACAACTTCGTATGAAATGCACAATGTCTCTAGCAGTATTTCCAATTTAATTGTATACTGCATGTTATAGTTCTTATGTACTGTTATCTGTTGATACTAACTTTAATCATATACTGGTTTGTCAAAGCTCTTGTTTTATTGTTTTCTGTTATTATTTAATTTCCTGATTAGGCCATTTTCTTTTCTAGAATATAAATTCCTTTATACTTTTTATTCTTCACTGAATGCATTTTATTCTTTTGTATGTATTCAATTTCCTAGAATAATAGCACAGTTTGAGTTTGATATTTATTTTTCGATTATAATTAATGGAAACAATGCTTTATTAAGGGATCAACAAAAAGTCTGTTATTCAAGTGACAGGCAAGCTTTTTTTTCCCCTGTCCCCATAAATTAGTTTTACCACTCTTAAACTTTATATAAATAGAATGTTTCTTCCATCTAAGCTGTCAAATGAATGAATGAATGAATGAATGAATGGAATTTTGCAGAATATTGTATACTTTTGGCTTCATTTTGATTTTGAGATTCACCTATGTTCTGGTGCAGTGGTCTCTAACCTTTTTGGCATCAGGGACCCGTTTCATGGAAGACAATTTTTCCATGGACCCAGGGGTTGGGGATGGGGGATGATTTTGGGATGATTCAAGTGCATTACCTTTATTGTGCAGTCAAACTTCTCTGCTAATGATAATCTGTATTTGCAGTCACTTCCCAGCACTAGCATCACCGCCTCAGCTCCACCTCAGATCATCAGGCATTAGATTCTCAGAAGGAGCGGGCAACCTAGATCCCTTGCATGTGTACTTTATAGTAGTGTTTGCACTCCTATGAGAATCTAATGCCACCACGGATCTGACAGGAGGCAGAGCTCAGGTGGTGATGCAAGCAATGGGGAGCACTGTAAATACAGATGAAGCTTTGCTCACTTGACCACCACGTACCTCCTTCTGTGGGGCTGGGTTCCTAACAGGCCATCGACTGGTACTGGTCCATGGCCTGGGGTTTGGGGACTACAGTGTTGGTATATATAAGTATTTTGTTCTCTTTTATTGCTGAATAGTATTCCATTGTATGAATATTTTACAGTTATAGTCATTGTTAGTTTGAGAGAAAATTGGATTTTTATAATTTTTTTGCTGTTATTAATAAAGCTGTAATAGATATTCTTATACTAATATTTTTTGTTACTTATGTTTTCATTTCTTTTTGGTAAATACTTAGGAGTCACTTACTGCATTGTATGGGAAGTTATATATCTTTGTCCAGACTATCAAAAAAGCGATAGTGATGCTATATTCTTCCCATCGTATCCTATCAGGTGGCTTATTATTTTGGATTTGTCTCAATATTAGGGATGCTTAATTCAACCACTTGATTAAGGTTTTTTTTTTTTTTTTTTTGCGCCAGATTTCTCCACTGTAATTTTACTCTTTTTTCTCTTTGTAATTAATAATTATTTTATGCAGAGGTACTTCACTGAACTTTTGATTTATTTATGTTTATTAGTGTGGACTAATGGATTCTTTTATTTAATAATTTATAGTATGGTATTACTTATTTTAGTGCTCAGATTGTCTCAGATTTGGCTCATGGCAATCCCATCTGTGTTGATGGTGTCTGTGTTCTTTTGACATGTCTCATAATTCTTTGTGTACTTCCTTACTTTGTAGCTTCACCTTGTACTTTCTAT